TGCTAGTCTAGTTCTAGTGATGAGAGGCACATGGCGCAGTTAGTTGAATCCACGCAAATAGCTACCTTATAAGATAACGCAGTTAGAGGGTCTCGGTGTAGGGGAAGTTGTGACCTGATAATCATCAATACGATAATTCCTCTCACGCTCTGCCCTTGAGTGCCCTAGTGTAAGTCTGTTAGAAAAGTCTTGGGAGCCCACCGTTCACTACATAGCCCGGGTATCCTGTGTCACAATCCGAGATCTGCGCTGTCAACGTTAACTAGCCGCGTTTCGGGTATGGTCAATCAGTTAACCCTTGGGAACTGTAGGGAAGCGAGGTCTTATATTCCTTGCTTCAACAGTTACTCGAGGCTTTCGCAATACGCTAAGTCTCGGCAAGAAACGTCTGGACCATTTCTGGGGTGACTTCAAAGACGCTAGACTAAATCTCCGACCGAACTGTCACGACCCTGGGCATTACTTTGTAGAGACTACAGTTCACCGGTGTGGATTCCCTCCCTGTCACGAGCGTACACTACTGAACTCTTCGGTACCTACCGCCCCTAGTGGGAACCTGTCCAGGATTATTCGGTGTTCAACAACATTAGAGGCGCGGATATAGCGCCCTGAGCCAGGTTATATGTTGTACATAAATATGTCATTAGGTTACTCAAGCTAGATGAGGCTCTAACATAAACTTGCAGATACCGTGCGCAGTCACACCTTTTAGTTCGATTATAGATACGATAAGTTGAGATTGTCTAATTCTTAGCGCCCTGTCATTTGTGAGTAGCCTCACATTACAACTCACTCTCCAGACGTAGATATCTCTTCGCCTTACTCGTAATTATATGATATGGTGACATCGTCCATAAGTATACAATGTATATAATTCATGCGTGGCTCTTTTGCCTCAAGTGGGGAGTCGAATCTGCGACATATTGTATCGTGGGGACTACCAACTGTATAACAGGGGCAAAGCCGCCAACAAAAACCCCTTCCCTTTTGTACCTACACTGTAGACTATCTAGATTCCATGTCCATAAAGGGTTACATGATCAGCTTATTCATCTACAGACTAAGCCTTATCTGAATATACTAAGTTGGACAGCTGGAAGCGTCACGTACAGTAGTTTTCATTTAGCGTAATTCCCAATTTACCTTCTGGTCCAACAAGTAGGCCATAGTCAACAGCCCAAATCGATCGTAATACGTAACGAAAGCCAGTAAATCATTCATGATTCGCGAAGTATTATGCTATCTATATTTCCCCACGATTCTTCTACAGTTGACAGGCGGGCATACATGATGATGTATGCATAAAATTAGCTATTTGTCAAGCTTCGACATTACGAATAGGAAGGAGGCCAAGGGCAATCATAAGAGTAATGCTTCGTCGGTCACTCATTGGGAATTGGGAATCGTCTTGACTACCTAATCCAGTTATTCACATGTTTGATTCAACTCGGCATAGCTACACCTTGATTTAGGCTGAATTGAAAGCCGAAGCCCCATGTTACACCCCGGCTTGTGGGAGACATTTCAATCATCCGGAAGCGAAGCTAAACTACCCGGGTAGTCACTAAGCTACCCTTTTATGCATAGTATTATACATTGAAATGGCAATAGATTCATTTAAGCTGAGAGTCGAGGTCGAGAACATACAAATAATGTTGTAATACTTATGTCATATTAATAGTATATATGTTGCTATTTAGTAAATAACGTAGTCGTGAAGTTCAGCAAAAGACTTTCAGAGTGCCTTCAAAGCTATGTGTATCTAGTATCTAACCCCGAACGATCAAACGTCATTTTCTTGAAAATAGAGAAGAGCTCTCTGTTCCAACAACTTTAGTGAGGCTTATACCCTCGTCATAACTTGGCTCGGTAAGTGGTGTTCCCGTTACAGTGGCTTGCGCTAGATGATAGAACCCGGGTCTAAAGTAGCATTGACGTTCTACACTAGCGTATCGTCACCGGGCATCAGCCTACTGCAGTTGAACTGGCGAGCTGGTCTTCCCAAGTATGTCCAACCCCACGTGCACACTAAGGATGTGTCAAACTGACGCCATGGTTAGCCGGTACACTACGCGGAGGTACTAGTAAAGCATGTCTTCCATCGTCGTCCTAAAACGCGAGATATCTATGCCGATTCTGCTCATGGTGGCTGCTAGGTGAAACAAGCCGTAGAGCTAAGATCGGGTAATCATCCAGAATAAAATTAGCGCTGTCAATCTTACGGGATCGAAAATCTCCAGCGCTATTCAAAAACCCTGGCGCTTTGGGCGCCAATGCTACGGTACAATATATTTCCCACAAACACCAACGAAGGAGTCTTATGCGCTATTTCAAGTTGTTGCTAACTTTTATGATGATAGGTCACTTTGAATATTGATACCTAAAAGTCCTAGACCTTGCCTGCAGCTGGTGCCTGGAGTATGTATACGATTGTCAGGCTTCACCGAGTTCCTTCTACGGCTTACCGTCTTAGAATGACGCTGAATCATGTCCGGCAACTTCGGAGTGGACGTGACTCAGAAACCACACAATGATGGACCGTATTGGCTTGAGGAAAAGGGGTTTGGTATATTCAGTCATGAGGACAACCAGGAGATGAAGCACAGGAAATTAAAGCATAATGAGAATGAGACTCTTCAGGAATCATATCAAGGAGTCAATTATAAGCAAAGATGATGGATGGACCCTGTTTCGAGAGGCTTTCACCCCCAAGTGGTGTCCATGTTCAGGTTGTATTTCTCGTTTAACAGGTCTATTTAATAACCTCGACAACGCTATCCGCGTTCATGGGCACAGCTATACGTGACCTACAATTTAGTGACAGAATGAGCAATCACGGTGACAGATTTGTCTCAGATTTGCAGACTGGTATGTCAACAAAACGGATTCCCATTTGTCACCGTAGGATTATACTTATCTAACAATAATCGAAATCCAATTAGTGTAGTATCACCAAATTATCACGCGAAATGGTTTAGAAACTCTGTGTTTCTACTGTGATCGGGTCCTTCTACATTGTGCTGACTCTTAAATACAGGTTTCATGTATAGCCAGACACTCATACCTTTTTAATGGTGGTTTGTCCTATAATTTCTTAGAGACCGTCACAGAAGCTAGCATAGATGCTTTCGTATCCAGAGCCTCACGTTAACATGTATCGCCAGAAAAAGAGAGATTTAATGTAGTATTTGTCAAAGCACGCTTAAGACATGCTACAGATCATGTTACTAATAAAACGAATGATTTGGTGTGATTAAGTCGTCAACCCGTCTGGCAACTCGATAGGTGGCTAATCGAGTTTCGAACCGTCCAAGTTCAAAGGCGCCAAGTAACAGGCTTATAAGCAGTAAGGTAGACTTCGTATACTTCCTTGGCGTCAGCCTGTAGTATTTTGAACTCAAATAGGTTCATTTCCAGCGACCAGACTAGATGAACAAAAGCACAGCGAATAAACGACAAACGAAAGAATCAATAGTATAACTTGTAGTACACGAGGATCTAGGGGAGCCAAAACCTTAGATTCACTCTACTTTACGATTATTCAATGGTCTATGGGCTGAATATAGCGAATCGAACATGTTGTAGTTATGTCAAGGAAGATAATCTACGAGTGTAGATTATTGCATGAAACTCTTGTCAACCTAAATCTTGGAAAGCGTGGTGAAGACGAAGAACTACGACATAGAAAGATATTCTAATTTCAATAATCTTCTCTGGGGTCAAAACAACAATGAAGGACTTCACCTCAGGTCTCACTCTAATATAATACTCCTTCGATACTATAGGAGTCTGAGTGAATATGGGCAAGTTAATAAAGGGCCAAGCCTCTTACGAAGCTGTGCACGTGTATAAGTATTTTCATGATCTTCATGACTTGGTTTAAGTTGCATATAATAAGATCTGGAATTTGTAGACAATCACACTCTTTATTGATCGTTAAAGTATAGAAGAATAAACAAAGTTACAGCTCAGTGGTGGTTAATACTGAAGCCAAGATACTATTATATTATACTGTTTAGAGTCATTTACCACGTGGTTGTAATGTTATGCAGAACTCACGTTCTTGAGATCAATCGTCGCCCTAGTTAATACTCCAAGAGCTGAATTGTCACGACTAGATGTTTAAATTTACCTTCTATAGAGCTATCTGTTTACATACATAGGGACTTAGTTGCTCGTCGAAAGAAGGAGGTGTGTTTTTATTAACCGTACCGCTTGTGACATAGACATATGACAACGATCGCAAAAGAAAATCGTAGACGAGAAGAATGGAACACGATAACTGCGTACAAAGCGCTAAAACACAATCTACTAGAATACAGGAGGCTGAACTTAATTTAAATTTTGATCCTCTAATCTTCGTATATTGAAAACCAGCCGTTGGTCTCCGTTCTCGCCAGATTCATAACACTATATAGAGCCGAGGGAAATTTTATGAACTGGTTCAGTATTCCATCAAGATTACCTTTACTACCAATTACTGGCTCGTTCCTAATAATATGTACAAGTATTGATAATGTTATTATAAAAAGGGTTTGTAAATGTTTATTACCTGGTATTTGGCCTATTATACATTTCCCTTCATTGCCTAAGGGCTTTGATGCGAAAATATCAAAATGACCTCGCCACAACAGGTCTTGTATTCGTAGAAGGCTGGAAACATGAACGGATACCGAGAAAGGTTGTAGATATATAAATAACTGCCAACGCTTGCATATCCCTTTACTATTTACTCGAGTAAATTGGATCTATCATGTTTTGAAGCCCTACGACACTGGGATATTCTTTGACTATGATGAACTTTAGTTATCAAATTACATGATCGGATTTTCCATACATGCCACAATGAGAAGTGCATTCCCATGCTTGAGTTACGCGATTTCCCCGGCTCTTCCGCCGACGCTTACGCGTCCTGAACTCTGTCGAAACTTAGAATTTAGGGTGGCCCAATTCTGATCCCCTTTGTCTTACCAGCACTATATGTAAAATTTTAACTCTGAGGGCATCTGGTCGAGTTGGTACGGCCTAGCGATGTAATTCTAGCGTTCTCAGCGTTCGTATACTTACTCAATATCTTTACTCCGCATCGTTAGGCATCGGGGGTTCGATTCCCTCGTTGACCATTGTTTTAATGGCTTTATTCTTTGCCCTCCTTTCTCTATATTTTTTCTTATCTCCAGTATTTTGTTACATCTCTTACTGTCTATTTCCTCCCTCCTACACACAACAAAAAAAATACATGCATAGTTTGTCTTAAAGCTTGACGAGTATCAACCTCTGACGTTGAAAATATTGCATCGCTCAGCTTTGGATATATCATCCAACATGTACCCTGAACTGCTATCTCAGCACTCAAAAACCGAACTGCCTTGTCAAACGATTGGTGACCGCAGGAGTAATTTCTCTCATCGTTCCATAGCAAGCTATGTAAAATCGAATGAAACGAATCCTAGTAAAAGCCATTACCGGCTTATTGGATTTACCTGACATCACTGTTGTGATAGTACACGCTAGCTAATCGTCTTTAACTATAAAGCTTAACACTCGTCTATTTAATGCAGATTACCTCGCTATGATATTTAATCCTTTTTCTCATTTCTTATTGATGTATAAGACAGTCATGCTTGGAGGGAGCTAGCGGAAGCTGCGTCAACTCACTACAATAGCTTGAATATTATACTCCATATAAACTCTTAAGGGATTAGATCAACGAATAACTGATTTGACGTGAGAGGCTATATTGGTGCATGAGACAATGTGTCTAACTGTCTGTGATTCGGTGGCTTTGGGGGAAACAAATAATATGTAATAACCATGATTTGGGATAGATAAGTTGTGTTATTATTTCTATTTAGTTAGAGATATTGCTTACTTTAGGAGTAGGCGTGCAAAAATGGCCGGGTAAGCATTTGATGATTGAAGTTAATGCATTTGCCTTGCCGGTGGCTCGTCATCTCGTCATTGCCATCAAGCTGACACAATGGATTCGGCGATAGGTTGACAAGGATGGGTCAGATGGGGATGCTAAAATGTAATCCCGTTATTGGGGGAAACGGAGGTCCCGTAAAGGTAATCGCCGAAGCCGCAGGGTCAAGTCCGGCAACATTCTATCGGCAGCGAACAGCCATTGCGCAGAATCACCTAACGCCGAAATAATAGATGGCCTCGACGTTTATCTTAATCGGCGTTGGAGAGATGACGATTGAAATCTACTTCCTGGGTTCATACGAACCCCGCGACACGAATCAGGCGATGTTTTGGTTATTGTTGTAATATTCATCGTCATCATCGCCGCGGGGTTCCTACTCCACCTCATTATTCACGAAGTCTAGCCATAAAGCTAACCTAGCTAGGTCGCCCCATACATCGGCAGTGGTGCTGATCCTACGTAAGTTATGCTTACTCTCGCGGGGCATCCTACTTACATACGCAGCGTATGTATATGTAATCACTACCTGTCCTTCCCCTTCTCTCTCAGGCCACTTGGAGTATTTGAACTGTTTTCGTGCTACCTGAAATTTTTGTTGAAACGTGTATAATCGATCACAAGACCAAAATTTAGAACATCGCCATGCCGAAAGTACTTCTCACAGGTTCGTAAATACTCCAAGAATGCCTCGATACCCCGCATCCCAAGGCGTCAGTATCGCTATGGATTGCGCCCAAAGCCCCTCCAAGGAGAAAGTAAAACTAGAAATCGACTGACTTGTGTTAAAACAACAGGTGGATCGGGCTTCATCGCCAGTACGTCAATCAAGCCCATGTATCTGTGAATACAGCTTTAGCACTAACACCAGTGGACGTTGACTAGCTCATATCCTCGAACTCCTCCTGAAAAATGGCCATGAGGTCGTGACCACGGTGCGAACTGAGGAAAAGGCAAAGATCATTCGGGATGCGCACCCGGGGGCCAAGCTGAGCGTCGTCATCGTGCCCGACATTGCCCAGCCGAATGCCTTCGATGAGGTGGTGCAGACGCCAGGCCTCGAGTACGTGCAACACACGGCCTCGCCCTTCCACTTCAAGTTCAAGGACCCGAAGACAGAGATATTAGACCCCGCCATCAAGGGCACGACATCCATCCTCGAGGCGATCAAGAAATACGCGCCGGGCGTGAAGCGCGTCGTCATCACCAGCTCGTTCGCCGCCATCCTCTCAGCCGACAAGCTCGGCGACGCGAGCAAGACGTGGAGCGAGGCCGACTGGAACCCAAACACCTACGAGGACGGCATCACGGGGCCACCGGGCACCACGTACCGCGTGTCCAAGACGCTGGCGGAGAAGGCGGCCTGGGACTTCAAGGAGAAGGAGAAGCCCAACTTCGACATCGCCACCATCAACCCGCCCTTCGTCTTCGGGCCCGTCGTGCACCACCTCGCCTCGCTGGCCGACATCAACACGAGCAACGGCAACATGGTCGCCCTGATCGTGGGCCGGTGGAAGGCCGAGATCCCGCCCACGGGCGTGCATCTCTGGGTCGACGTGCGCGACGTCGCCAAGGCCCACGTCGCCGCCATGGAGCGGCCCGAGGCCGGCGGCAACCGCTTCTTCGTGACGACGGGCCTGTTCGCCAACAAGGAGATCGTCCCCATCGTCCGCAAGCACTTCCCCCAGATCGCGGATAAGCTGCCTGAGGACGGCGTCCAGGGCGGCGACTACCCCGGCGGCAGCGTCGACAACGTCTACAAGTACGACAACTCCAAGGCTACTAAGGTGCTGGGCATCGACTGGATCCCGTTCGAGCAGTCCATCGTGGACACGATCGGTAGTGTCCTGAAGGTCGGTGCGAAATAGACGCTAAACGAAAATCGTAAAAGCATAAAACAAAAAGGGAGTCGGAAACAGAAGGTCGTAACGTGGCTGATCTGGAATGGCGAAAGTGCATAGAGGCGGTAGTGCTCATAAAAAATAGACCCTTCTTATACTGATAAGATCGTTTGGTGACATTTTACATTGACTGTTGGTTCCGTGCCGCTTCTCTACATGCATATACCCGGTGCGTTAGACATTCCAAGCAGTTCCTCGCGCGTGTATATGCATATTAAGTTGGTTCTAACGCATCGCATTTGTGGTGACCGGGTACACACTGTTAACCCCGGGTTCTAATTAAGACATTATAATTCTAGATTACCTCCCGAACCTTTGTTATCTCCGTTCTAGCGCAGTATGGAGCACTGCACATACGCCGTATCTCGTGTTCGCATACTAGTCACTGACTTCAGTATCGCCCGCTTAGCTTCTCCAAGTCCAAATCCTGCAGTGGCACACCCGCTTTCGTCTCCCCTTTCTTCTCCGAGCTCCCTCTTTTCCGGCCCGCGGACGTAATGCCTGGTCCGCCACCGCCGACTCCACTCCAGCTGCCCCAGGACTCTCTTGTTTCCCGCGCATATGACTCTGTGAGGTCGCGCAGTTCCTTGGCCGAAATAGAGTTTGGGGGCCTCGAAGTATTCCCCTGTTGCGTGGGGACTACAGGGCTGTCACCGCGAGCTAAGCACCGGGCTGGAAACGTGGGGGATCGTGGCGACACGGAAGAGACTGAGAATGTAGGCGAGTTGGGATGGTTTGGTGGAGGCGCGGGGAGCGCGCGACTGGGCGGCGGTCCCGCCGGCGTCACAGACGCTTCGAGCGGGCCTTCATGCGTCCGAGGAAACCTCGTGGCCGATAATGGCGGCGTGCTGGGTCCGGTAACCGTGGCCGAACCTGAGTGGACAGAGCTCTGTTTGTTAGATCCGACCGTGACGGTGGAACTATCCGGCCTGCTGCTCAGGGAGTAGACACTACTTTGTGGATGTTGAAGTGGGACTGATGTACCCCTGATCGCTGGAGACTTAACACTTAGTGTGTCATTTCGTTCATGTTGAGGCACAGGTCCGCTCTGCGTAGGGACGCCGGCCGGCAATAGTGGAAATGTCCGGTTAGCTACGCTTGGTGACGCCGGAGGCCGAGGGGTACCTATGTTAAGTGCCGACTCCAGATATTTTCGCTCACTGAGCTTCGCTGGTGGTGTCAATGGAGGCGGAGCATTGCTGGATGATGCGGATGGAGGTGGTGTTATCAAAGGTGTCCCAGAGTCACTATTCGGTATAGGATATGGACGATTTACAAAGGTTATTAGGGGTGGACTCGGAGAGCTACTCCTGGGGATTTTTTTTCGCCGGTGGACCAGTAGGAGGAGAACAGCAGTGATTGCTAAAACTGCTATAACCGAGAATATACTTATCGCTGCCTTGGCTCCCTCTGTGAGCCTTGATGAGGCAGCGTTGGTCGAGATGGCTGAGCTAGTACTGCTCGAGCTGATTGTCAAGGTCGATGAGGAGGCGGACGGCATAAAAGTATCGAGTGTACCGGTAGGTGGGATTGTATCTGGTCCTATTGAGTCTGTGGACCATGTTCTAAGGGTTGGAAGGATTGGGGGTTCATTAATGGTAATATGAGGCGCTGCGGTACTAGACGTTGAAAGAGCGCAGTAGTTGGTCGCTGGCGGGCCTGGGTCTTTAATCGAGAAAAAACCAATGCTATTTGAGGTAAGTATAAGTCTGACAGAAGGTTGGTAGCTTTCACGAACTTCTGGCATTCATTAATGATTAGATCAACATTAGCTGTGCGGAGTATTAGAGAAGACTGCTCAAGATTATCAGATTGTGTGAGACTGACGACTTTGACCGGCACCTCCAATATAAACGCCGCAACTGATAGCATCGCAGCAATATAAATTCCAGAGACGAGTCTTTTGGTGCTCCGGCTGTTGTAATTGGCGACAAGCGTCTTCCACATTAGGAATCAGCTCATTAAAGCAAGCGGTAACACAAGCGGAGGCATTCTCCTTGACAAATTCCGCGGCGCCACTTCGACGATCTCCTGTTCTCGGATGTCGAATTGCCGTCCCAAGAATGACATCGCAATTGTTATCACCTGCTTGTTGACCCATGGTAATTTTCCCTGGAGCCGAGTCTTTTCTATGAGGAGTCTTTCTTTATATGAAGCGAACCAATACAGTTAAAGAGAGGCATATTTTAGTAGGGGAGTGAATTGTGAAACGCCGTGGAAAGGACCACTTCGAAACGAATGTGAGCGATATCAGATCCTCAGCATTGACAATAGCGAACGAGCTGGGGAGAGAGAC